AGATAATGACAGAGAAGAATCAGGCTGCTTGGTAAGATGGAACCACAGAGAGAAAAATAATCAAATAAATTATTTGTTTGAATGCCAAAAAATCATAATTGTTATTTTCTCTTCTGTAAATAATTCTGTGGACTAGTAATGCTGTTCATTTTCTCATTTTAATAGCAAAAATCACGAATTCGCTGTTAGACTAAAAATTATTACTTACAAATTCTATTAGTTGTTACAAATCAGGACTTTTATTTATAATCATAAGTTGATATACAATCCTCATTAAGAACTGGCTTTTTTGAAAGTTGATTATAATTCTTAAATCCTTGAATTAGTATTTCTATTTTATTCGTGACTGAAATTTTGCCAATTTTTCCAATGTCCATTAAAGGACATTTAAAGTATAAATTCACAGATACATTTGATTGTGAAATAAAATTAAATAAAATTTTAGCCCTGGTTGGTGTGGCTCATCTTTCTCCACTTCTTATGAAGAGCTCTATCTTCTCTTTGTTTTGGTCATGTCTTGGATTGTTTTGTTTTACAACCACATTTAGTTATACAGCAGGGCCTTGACTTACGAGTTTAATTCGTTCCGAGACCGAGCTCGTTAAGGAGCTCGTTAACTCAAATTACTCTATCAACTCAATGCAAAAAAATCGGCCGAGAGACAACTGGCATCTCAAAAAACTCGTTATTCGGGACACTCGTAAATCAAGGCCCCACTGTATATTTCTAAACCATATAATTCAGTTGCACCTATTCTTAAAGCTTCGTATAGTAGAATCACGGGTGCAAATTTTTCCTGTGTTGTGTTCCTTTCACTTAACATTCTATCTAGGAGTTCTGTCCACTCTGTCACTAGTGTGAATGTTAATATGCCTGAACTGACCAATTATTATTTTTTGATATTTAATGTATTTTAAGAAATTCTTACATATCCCAACATCATGAAAGTATTTCCCTCTGTTTTCTTCTAGAAGCTTAATATGTTGCCTTTCCTACTTAGATCCTCATTCCATATCAAGCAGTTTTGTGTAGGTGATATGACAAAGTAATCCTATTTCTGCTTTTCCCAAACAAAAACCCAAATTGCGGAACCATTTATTCAGAAGTTCACCCTTTCTCATATACTGTTTCATTATGGCCCTGTCATATATGACGTGCCCATATATCCGTCCATCATTTTCTAGGCCAGCTTGTCCTTAACGGCATTTTGTAAATTTAGTTGTTTCAGGGAAGATGGCTACAAAGTCAATAAGGCACACCCTTTCTTTCAATTGTCTCTTATTCTCAAACTTCATTTTGAAAAACTGCTGAGGAAGCAGTCAGTTGCAGTAATCTGACATATCTTTACATTATTTTGAAAGATTACAAGAAAAGTATTACCATGTTCCTCGTGATTCACTTGCACTTGTGGTTAAGCAAAAAAAAAAATGTTAGAACTCAAGGTCAAGCTTTTTATTATTTTGTATTATCGTAAGTGAATAATTGCATATGTAAAATGTTTCTCTTATGGGAACACAATTCACCACCCTCTGACTTTAGAATTCATGTCCATGGTTCGAGATCATTGTAAGTTGGAGCTACTAAAAGTGAATCCTTCATCCAGAGTTCCTGCGAGTTGTGAAAAGGATGAGGATTTCCACGGCCTGCCAGAAATTATGCATTTGCTGGTGAGCATACTGCCTAAGGGTGTTTCTAGAAAATGGTAACTACAATCACAAGGCTTCAATTTATTTAGGGCCAGGTGTACTCCTGTTCTACCCTTCAGAGCAGACATAATTCCTCCAGGCTTAGTCTATTTTCTAAAAGTGAGAACACTCACTTAAAATGCCTGTGCTTAGGTTCTATTTTCAATCTTTAGCCAAGAGAGAAAGACAGCTGAAAACCCAACTTTTAATATTTAACCAAAAAAAAACCCAGTTTCGTGTTAGCAAGCTCACTGTAGATTCTCCAATTCAATGACCTACTCATAAAATAATCACCTCTTGAGTCATAATGTAGTTTCAGACCAAAATCTAAAAAGTACTTTATAACACTCATTAATTTAAAAATACAAAGATAAGCCTTCTTAGTCGACAAAACACATCTTGTGAAAAGAATGATATTTCTTTTTCTTTAAGCTCTGACCATGATCTTACTATGTTTAGTTGTTATGATCTTGCTGTTCTATATCTGCAGTAAAAATGACAATATGATTCTGGAGAAGGAGCTAGATGAAGAAAGACAACTGAAAGATATTTGGCATAATTATCTTAACAGGCTTAATATGTTTTACATTCATAACCACTGCCTTTCAGAAACTATGTCAACACAATATCCTGTATGAAGTAGCTTATGGCAGTAATAAAATGCACTGGTAGAATTTTGCCGATCACTTTTTGAAATTACGTGGTCTTTCAAAATGATGAAGCTAGTAATTAAATTGGGAAAATATAGATTTTCCATCTCTGTGTATTACTCACAAATTCTGTATTTGAGGTTGGACATCTGTGAACAATAAAGTCTCTGATAATTATTTTTGAACACAGATATGAAAAACAAAAGTAACAGCAAAGAAACCAGAAAGCTGTTCTAATCCTTGTTGTTGAGAGGGTCCTGATATGTCAAAAACAAAGTCAACATCTCCAGAAGGACTCAGATCCATTATATTGGAGGGAGAGGTGAAGAGAACTCTCTGAAATTTAGGGAAATACTAGCTAGACAAACAAAATATCTCACTGTGGTAAGGCAAAAGGAATCCTCATGAGTATATTATATTGCTCATTCCATGCCAACCATCAATGATCATAGATAGCATCATTAGGCATTGTTTCAAAGGTCACATAGAAGTTATGGTCTGGTCCCAGCAGGGGACAGGACATCATATTCCATGGTTTACAAACAGATAACTTCCATACATGCCTGTTCAAGCGACAAAGATAAAGATATCAGAAGTTGAGAAGTATAGGACTAATGAAGGTCATTAGGAATAGAGTTCTAAGAATTCTAAGTGGAATATACAAGCCTTAAAAACCAACCCCAAGGTGTTGTTTTCCATTAGCTTTCACTGTGGCAATCCAAATAATTTTGATGCCTCTCATACATTCAGCCTAGAACCTCTAAAACAGTGGTTCTCAACCTTCCTAATGCTGCAACCCTTTAATACAGTTCCTCATATTGTAGTGACCCCCAACCATAAAATTATTTTCGTTGCTACTTCATAACTGTAATTTTGCTACTGTTATGAATCGTCATGTAAATATCTGATATGCAGGATGTATTTTCATTGTTACAAATTGAACATAATTAAAGCATAGTGATTAATCATAAAAACAATATGTAATTATATATGTGTTTTCTGATGGTCTTTGGCGACCCCTGTGAAAGGGTCGTTCGACCCCCAAATTGGTCGCGACCCACAGGTTGAGAACCGCTGCTCTAAAACATGCCAACCCTTGTTTACAACTCACAATCAATCAACAGATGGGCCAAACGCCAACAACCACACACAAGACACCTCAGACCTCCCAATAGAGATGCCAATAGATTGTGGAGACAAGCATGCACCAGTTTGATTGACAGACTGTTAAAACCCTCCTGCAGAATGCTGACATAGAAGACATTCCCACCACCTTCAACTCAAGTCATTTCACACAATCTGTGAAGGAAAACAGGCTTAACCAACACACACATGAAAAGGAATACAACTGGAATCATATTATACAGATTGCATTTCAGAAAGAACATCTTTAATATTTGTCATTTTACTTTTAAAAATAAATTAGAGTCAGTCTTTTTTGTAGACTTGCGCCCATGCTCTGGCTGCCTGGACTAGGGATTTCTAACTACACACACACACACACACACACACACACACAGTAATTCTGTGATGTTTCATAGAACTAGTTCAGTACCTCCAGTCTGTTTGGTAAATACTAGTAAGCATTGCTGATAGAATTTATACATTTCCCAGGCTATAAAGACCACATACAGACCAGAAGCACAGTGCCCTCTGGTGCACAGATACAACATAAAATAAAACATATATATCACATATTTACATATAGACACACAAATGCAAAGCTAAGTTTTGCTTCTCTATGAATGTTCAACCAATCACTGGGAATCGTAAGCTTCTATCTAGAAGAAATGAGCCAATCAAAACTTTCATAAAACATTCTCTATGGCATAGACTCAGGCGCACTTGTGTATCCTCTATTTAATGGGTTCATTGGGCTCGGGGGCAGGAAGTCTGTTGGATTTCACATACAGCTTCTTTTGTGTAACTATTTAGAGTTAAACATAGAAGAGCAGTAAAAGCTAAAGGCCATACATCTCAATCCCTTCTTCTTTCTCGGTCTTTGCTATCATGTCCTGTTCATCCTTTTCCTTCTATTCCATTGCCATTTCCGCCATTGCCATAGTATGAATGGACTCAACTTCTCAATGACTCGTACAAGACACCATTTCCATTGAAGCTCAGAAAAGGTAACAACACAGCGTAGCATAAGTAGAAAGGAAAACACCATTCGGGAAAATTCACTGAACAGTGTTTACGATGATGAACTCAGCCTCCAAGTTCACTGGCATTGACTTGAAGGCACAGAAGGATTCTAGGATCTGAAAGGGACCCAGAGGGGTCACCCTTATCACGTTTTCCTGGAATACGTCACGTCGAAGAGAAATACACTGAGTGGCCAGATTATGATGACCACCCCATCAGTACAATGAACTGAATTAGTTATGTAAATAATAATAATAATAAAACCTTGAGAGCATTTGCTTAGGAAGTTTTCAATATTCAGTATTTTTGGAAGAGTCAATGAAGTACTGATGGGTTGGTCATAATCATCTGGCCACTCAGTGTGTGTTTAAATAACAAAAACATGACAGAGGCGAATGGTCAATAAGAACCCTCCTGATGACCACCCTCTCCCCTCGGAAACGCTCCCTTAGAGAAACCCATTCACACACAGCCTCCCAGGCAGAGAGCTCTGCACCGGCCTGCCCTTGCCCCCCAGTACCTGTATATCTTGTATCTTGTGCTAAATCCCTGCCGGCTTCGGTCCACAAAATCAGTGTATTCCTGTGAGCGATGGAAGGGTCCCTTGTCATACAGGAGCCAGTCGAAGGGGCTTGTGGCATGCTGGTCGGAGACGGCAGCAACGGCGAACACCCAGCAATGCAGACTCAGGGCTATCCACTCCCATAGAGCCATCAGAGAGAGCACTTCAGCACCGGCTCCGCTGCGCCATACCATGCTTCCTCTGGGCACCTGGCGCCTTCATCCTCTTAGCTTGCCCTCAACACCTAGACGAAACACACAGGCCGTCAGTGAGCGCCCGCTGCGTGCTTTCCAGCATGAAGCTGTGGAGGAGGCTGATGCGTTTAAAAAAAAAAAATCTAGTTCCATCCATGCTGTTGCAAAAGGCAAGAGTTCCTTCTTTTTTACCGCAGCGTAGTATTTCATTGTGTAGATGGAACTGGAGAGCATTATGCTAAGTGAAATAAGCCAGTCAGAGAAAGATAAATACCTCATGATTTCACTCATTTGTGGAATATAGAGAACAACATAGACTGATGAACAGGGACAAATCCAAAGACAGAGAAACAGCGATCAGACTATTAATCCCCAGAGGGAAAGTAGGGGAGGGAGGGGGTAAGGGGAAGAGATCAACCAAAGGACTTGTATGCATGCATATAAGCCAAACCAATGGACATGGACAACAGGGGGATGAGTGCATGAGTGGTGGGGGGAGGATGGGGGTTAATGGGGGGGAATGAGGACACATTTGTAATACCTTAACTAATAAAGAATTTTTAAAAAAATAAATAAATAATTTTTTTAAAAAATCTAATAGCATTGCTTTAAACTGGACCATTGCAAAAGTGACCAAGGCAACTCAAATGACTGTGATCTGTCACAGCTGTGTCCCTGTCGCCCCCGTGCCCTGTGAGTGTGTTGGGAAGGAAGGCCCGAGTCACAAGGGGCTCCTCATGCCGGCGTCTGCAGTAGATCGTGAAGCCCTACAAAGCCACAAGGAAAAGTCCGGACTCACAATTCTTTTCTTATTTTTTCTGCTTATAAATGTTTTATAACATTGAGCACTTTATAAATAATGAATGTTTAATTATATTATAATTTGTTATAAATTTTAATGCTAAGTGTACTTGATTATTTAGTTATGTTAGGACAATTCTTGCAAATGAATTAAAGATATTTAGGTCGTTATTTTCATAACATGGATGAAATTGGATGGACTAAAACTATGGGTTTAGGAATAAATAAATAAATGTTTACATATGTGAGTATGTGTGTGTCTACCTATCTCTTTATATAGATAAAGAAAGGAATGGATGGGTGTGTGGAGCGGGGAGAGTAGAGGTGTGTGTTGGCTCAGCTATTTTTCCCATTATCCTATTAGAAACAAACCTTCCTGATTATTTAAACAGAATCATAGTTAAATTATGTTAAGGATCTTTAAAAGATTTCACTGTGCCTCTATGTATTATTCATGAGATAAGTAGGCATACCTACAAAGTTCACATACATACAGAACCTAAGACAATGCAGATTATATGTAAACTGTGAAACCATATATATTAATTTTAGGAACATTCAAAAATAAAGTAACAAGAGGCATGATCCCAGGGTGGCAGAGCAAAGCAACTTTACATGAAGCAGCTGATGCAACGTCTAGACACCACACACAAAAAATCCTACAAATAATCTGAATTCAAGTCTACTTTCTCTCTCCACCAATTTTTCCAACATTATTATTTATAGCACACAGAACTGAGCAGTATGTAAATCCTACTAATGAGAAAGTCTGGGTTGTAAAAGTTTCCTAGTCAGCAAAAATCTCTTTAGAAAGCAATCAAAATGCCCAGTATTAGGTAAATATTTTAATTATAGCTGTCATATTTCTCTGGTGTTTGGATAAGGCAATTGATGGCTTTAATTTGCTTTCTAGTTATAGCCCTATAATTCATAATTTAATCCCAAACCATTTATTGATGAGAGGTATACAGCAATAATTTTGCAACTATAAAGAATGTCAAAACAGAAATACAATGTGAACGGCCAAGGTCATGATATCCACAGTCTTACCCACCACACAATTGAAAGAACTAATACCCACACACTCTATGAGTTGCCCCAATCACATGAGCTATTTCACTGTGGTCATTGAAGAATGCCATCTTTGTAAACAACTTAGGAAGCCTTCCAAGTGAATACATTTTAAAAATGATTTATCATAAAAAAATAAAATCACATAATAGAAACATTTTGAAATAGGGGTTGGGAGGTGCTGGGTCTCTATCAATTATTTGTCTAAATGGAGCACTGTCAAATGACTCAACTCATAAATTCTGATAGAGCAAATAGATATTTTTACATAGTATTTTTCTTATGTGGGAGCTATGGCATTTTTCGTAAAATCAATGCATTTCGCTTACATTCATAAACGAAGAATTATTATTATTATGCATAAAGGAACAGTATAATCCCCCTGTGACTAACAAATATTTCCTATCTTTGTTAAACACACATTTTTATTCTGCTGATCAAATATATTTAAACTCGAACCATTTAATCATTGTGACAAAAAATGTTATATTTTCCTATGTGAAGCAGCAAGAATAGGGCCTTGTATGTGGTAGAGACGTTAGGAATGTTTCAAAGCATGTTTCCTACTGGTGCGAAATCATAATTATACACCTAACTCTTTGAGTTTAAATCATTAAATTGAACACAACTCTGCTCAAGCACATGAGTTTGTAAGACACAGAGCATTACAGAAAAAGTGGGGAACGACAGGTCCTCTTCTCAAATTCTGCAATTTTTCAATATATAATTTACCCAGAACCACTGTTTTTAATTCTTTCCTTCACCAAATGTGCTGAAGAGGATTCGTGGTCCTCATTCCCTCATCTTAACATATAGGAAGATGGAGTGATTTTCTTAAAATACGTTTGGGGAAACTGCCTAAAGGTGTTAACATTAGGTTTATCTTTATGGTTTTGTTGTTGTTGTTGTTGTTATGTGTGTGTTCTATTTATTTATGTATTCACTTATTTATTTTTTATTGAATTTATTGGGGCAACATTTGTTAGCAAAATTACATAGGTTTCAGGTGTAGAATTCTGTAATACATCATCCGCATAGTGTACTGTGTATTCAACACAGCAAGTCAAATCTCTGCCTCCACTGATCCTACCTTTACCCTCTTTTACCTGCCCCTACCTTCCTTTCCAACTGGTCATCACCATAAGGTTGTCTGTGTCTATGAGGTTGGTTGTTGTTGTTTTTGCTTCATCCCTTCACCTTTTTCCCTCTGCCCCTATCCAACTCCCCTCTGACAGCTGTGAGTCTGTTCTCTGTATCTCTGAGTCTGTTTCTATTTTGTTTGCCATTTTGTTGTTGTTTATAAGATTCCACATATGAGTGAACTCATATGGTACTTGTCTTCCTCTGACTGACTTATTTCACTTAGCATAATGCTCTTACCATGCTGGTAAGATTTCCTTATGTTAATGGCCAAGTCAGTTTCCAGTGTGAAATGTACCACTGCTTTTTTATCCACTTATTTACGGATGGGCACTTGGGTTGCTTCCAAACCTTGGCTGTAAATAACACTGCCGTGAACATAGGGGTGCATTTATTCTTTCGAATTAGTGTTTCAGGTTTTTCTGAATATGTTCCCAGAAGTGGAAGCGCTGGGTCATACAGCAGTTCCATTTTTAATTTTTTGAGGAAACTCCATATTGTTTTCCTTGCCCAAGGTGATATATCAGAAAAAAATATTGCTCTGAGAAATGTCCTGCCTACGTTTTCGTCCAGGATTTTTATGGGTTTGAGTCTAACATTCAAGTCTGTCAATATTATTTCCATTCTATTCCTGTATGTAAATTATTTTCATCTTTATTTTAAACTGTCTTTTGTTTCACTATTTTGGTAGTCAAAGGTAGTCATAGTTACAAATAAGTTTTTTGAAGCATTCCTCATATTTTACTTTAAAATTAGATCTTGTAATCTAAACATACTATGCAAAACATCCTGCATCTGAACTTTATGCTTCAGTCTCTGACCACTTTCCTTATGAACTGGAAATAAGTACGAATTGAACCTTACTAAGGTATTTTGTGATATGACCCCATAAGTTGAAACACTGAGATAGTTTGTATTTAAATGGTAAAGAGAACCCAGGTGACTCTGAGTTTGGCTATCCCCCCCTTTTTTAAATTAATCTTCAATTGAGAATATTTTTCCATTTAATTTTAGAGAGAGTGGAGAGAAGGGAAAGAGAGAGAGAGAGAAACAGTGATTAGAGACTTATCAATTGGTTGCTTCCTGCACCTTGCACCCCTGACCAGGGCCGGGGATTGAGCCTGCAACCGAGGTACATGCCCTTGACCAGAATAGAACCCGGGATCCTTCAGTCCATGGGCCAACGCTCTATCCACTGAGCCAAACCAGCTAAGCCCGAGTTTGGAGATTTTTAAGAGCAATTTCCCCGATGTGAGGGACGGAACTGAGGAATGGAGCTCCCCTTCTCTTAATTTTTCCTAATCAGTCCTGCCATTAGGTAGTAGCACTTAACTTCCTCTTTATTGGTAGGACAAGATTGTATTGGCAGGATCAAGCCTGAGATTAGTTCCATCCGCAGTATATCCTCCTCAGAGGAATAAGAAACCCTCATTAAGATGGAAACCACTTAAAGCTGTAATTCAGAGGCTCGGTATTGCCTGATCAGCTAAAATAAATAACCAGAAAGGCCTTCTGGAATACAGGTTTAGCAGTTAAATGACTAGAGAGCTTCACTTCTAAGGCCAGTCTTAACCTATAGAATGTAATTTAAAACAAGGCAGCTCAGTTCTTTTTTTTGTTGTTGTTGTTTTTAAAAAGGAAGGACAGTGAGAAAGTACAAAAGTAATGCATTACTAACAGATTAATAGAATGATAATCTGTTGCTGGTATAAGCAGATAAAATGAAACAGCACATAACATTTGGAGGAAAGGACTTCAACTCAGTGCATGTTCCATAGCGACTGTGTACACAAGAGTGTGTTAACCATTAGCAGGTCACAGGGTTACTGAAACATAATACCTGCCAGCAAGTCCTTCATTATTTGGTCAAACCAACAGAGGTGTTAAAGAGGGTGATCGTAACATATTGAGAAACTCTGGAAGATTCATGAATGGAAACCCATCCAGTCTACAGTTATTTTAATAATTTACATGCTACCACATCCAAAAGGACTCGAGGTAGATATTAACCCACAGGAACTAAAAATAACAAAAGGAG